ACTGGATACGTATTTATGGAAGATGAATGGATGGATGATACAGATTCCCAGAATCACTTACAATCCCCCAGAATTCAATGGCTGCTGACTCTGACCGCTCTGCGATACCTATTATGTATGAAAGTGCACTTATACAGTGGGAACTGCAGCCTGAAACCGCAGGTTCACAGCCGCTGCTGAGCACGGTCTAGCTGTCAAGAAGCTGTAAATTCGAACCGGCAGGAGACTCCGAATGTGCCCGTTAGACAAGCCGCGTGTTTATAATTCACGTCATGCCGGAAAAACCAAAGCCTGCCACCCTCTTGCAAAACCAGCTAGCAAAATCTGAGCCCGGCAATCTGTCACACGGCGACGGCGTCTCCCCGAGTGTTCGGCCACTTGGTATGCACTGAGGTGTATTTATGTTCTCTGCTTGCCTTTAATTTCGCTCCAGGTCACCTGACACCCAATGACCCGAAACCACGCCCCTTGCCCCACCCACACACCTCATAATTGTTCACGTTCTTGTTTTAAAGCTTTCAGCGGTCTCCTGAACATTTCCCTGTCAGCAATTAATTCTCTTTAATTCAATTTAAAACGAACTACATTAACTACCTTCCATTTGTTAAAACAACCTCTATCGCTCTCACCCATATGGGTCTATGTGTCTCAGTTCCATGACTGTTTTCGGGGTTTGAGATTAAAGAGACAGAACTCAGGATGATGAAAAGAGACATCCATGACCTGAAGTGAAGGAATAAGGGAAGAAACAGCATTTGGGTGAGAGCCTGGGCTCATGACGGGCATGAATTAGCAGCTTAGGTGAGTATCTCACTCTGTGAGTGTCTGATGTGCAGCCGACACACTCTGACCTGCAAAGCCGACGCCCACTGAAATGAAAGGTCGACACCCACTGACCTGAAAAGCCGACGCCCACTGAAATGAAAGGTCGACACCCACTGACCTGAAAAGCCGACGCCCACTGACCTGCAAAGCCGACGCCCACTGACCTGAAAGGCCNACCTGAAAAGCCGACGCCCACTGACCTGCAAAGCCGACGCCCACTGACCTGAAAGGCCGACGCCCACTGAAATGAAAGGTCGACACCCACTGACCAGAAAAGCCGATGCCCACTGACCTGCAAAGCCGACGCCCACTGACCTGAAAGGCCGACGCCCACTGAAACGAAAGGTCGACACACACTGACCAGAAAGGCCGACGCCCACTGACCTGCAAAGCCGACACCCACTGACCTGAAAGGCCGACGCCCACTGAAATGAAAGGTCGACACCCACTGACCTGAAAGGTCGACACAAACTGACCTGCAAAGCCGACACCCACTGACCTGAAAGGCCGACGCCCACTGAAATGAAAGGTCGACACCCACTGACCTGAAAGGTCGACACCCACTGACATAAAAGGCTGATGCCCAGTGACTTGAAAGGCAAACACCCACAGACAGTAGAGGTCGATGCCCACTGAACTGAGGATGCCAACTGACCCAAAAGGTCGACACACACAAAAGGCCGACGCCCACTGACCCGAAATGCCAACACCCACGCACACAAAAGGCCGACCCCCACTGACCCGAAATGCCAACACCCACCGACCCAAAAGGCCGACGGCCACTGACCCAAAAGGTCGATGCCCACCGACCCAACAGGTCGACGCCCACTGACCCGAAATGCCAACACCCACCGACCCAAAAGGTCGACGCCCACCGACCCAAAAGGTTGACGCCCACCGACCCAAAATGCCAACACCCACTGACCCAAAAGGTCGACGCCCACGCACACAAAAGGCCGACCCCCACTGACCCAAAAGGTCGATGCCCACCGACCCAACAGGTCGACGCCCACTGACCCGAAATGCCAACACCCACCAACCCGAAATGCCGACGCCCACCGACCCAAAAGCTCGACGCCCACTGACCCGAAATTCTGACGCCCACCGAACCGAAATGCCGACACCCACCGACCCGAAATGCCGACGCCCACCGACCCAAAAGGTCGACACCCACTGACTCAAAAGGTCGACGCCCAACTGACCCGAAATTCCGACGCCCACCGACCCAAAAGGCCGACGCCCACTGACCCAAAAGGCCGACGCCCACTGACCCAAAAGGCCGACGCCCGCTGCACTGACCTGCAGAGCTCATCCCTCAGGCAGTATCCCTGCAGGCTGAGACAGCTGGGCTTGCCGTCGGGCTCTTCATAGGAGCAGGAGGGCACGATGGTCTTGCGGCGGCGCTCCCCGCACAGTGCGTCGGCGCAGGGGCAGAAGAGCACGCCGAAGCTGTACTCCTCGGGGACACGCTCCAGGAAGCGCCGCAGCGCCCGGTGGCACTTCTGCCGGTTGCAGCGGTCGGAGCCCGGCACGCGCTTAGTGCAGGCCAGAACGTACTCGGAGCGCAGCGAGCCGCATTTCTCGTACAGGCCGCAGTCCTGCGCCGCCTTCAGGCAGTGGTTTTGCCCATCCAGGGGGAGAGAGGATGCTGGGGGAGGACGAAGGGCAGGGACAGGGGTGTGGAAGCCGGACTTACAGGTTACTGGACTGAGTTTTAGAATAGGATGCATTAAAGCCGATGATGCAGGAATGTATCACAACACAAGTGCCTTAGGGGCAACTCTGCTGTGAAAGGCGCTATATAGAAATGAACTGAATTGTAAAGGTCAGGCACCTGCCACTATGGAGGCCATGTGTGACACGTCAATATGCCTCAGCAGCCCAACCTGCAGGTCTTCATACGGGGAGACGTGATACTCGTCCTTACCTGGGGGGTGGGCAAGGGACAGTGACAAGCAGGGAAAAATAAAGACAGGATATAGGGAAGGTGCAACAGGACGGATGGATGGATGGATAGATAGATAATGTTATTAATCCTGATGGAAATTACAGGTTTACAGCTGCTGCACAGAAGAAGAACATGTACTGCAGCTACAACAACTGTTTGGTTTCCCGAACGTCAATGTAAAAACTTCTCAGCGACTTCACATACTAATTTCCCAGCAGCGGCATCACGCTTTTCAAAGGGCGGCCGATGTTCATTAGTATCTGTGCTTCTCAAATCGCCGAGGCGTGCAATCTACCGTCGGATGGCGCCAGCGAAAGACATTTCCCGTTCCCTGATATTTGCCTATACAGATACGTGTGAGCCTGTGATAAATTAAATGCCTCAGGAAACACGGCTATTCATTAAATTAAACATCAAATAAAGTAAATCTCTGCCCGTAATGGATTGGCATCACGGCCCGGCTGTGCTGTGCTTTCTAATTTAGACTCCAGATTCTCTGCCACTGGACTGGGTAAGCGGTTATGTAGGTGTATGAATGGATAAAATAAAAATATTAATAAAACATGTTACATTTTATGGTATAAATATTAAACGCAGGCCTCAGGTGCCGATTTGTAGGACCTATGGCTAAACCTGCGATATGCATCTTCTGTGCTCGAACCCGAGAAATAACACTGACAAAAGCAACTCACCCTCTGAGAACCTGACTGTCCAGTAGACCTTCAGGCACTGCTCTTCTCTTCTCGCGCCACGCTGGCACTTACAGGCCAGCAGGGGGCGGTACTGCAACAGGGCGCCCTGTGCCTCCAGGCACTCATGGCGTGCCTCAGGTGCCAGGGGGGACACGGCCTCCTCGTCGGCACAGTATTCCAGCACCCGGTACGCGGGCAAGCACTCGGGGTCCGTGACGCACCTCTGCTGCGCCTCGAGGCAGTCCGCCACGGGCAGGGGGAGCGAGGCGGTGGCCAGGGAGCTGCCTGCGGGCGAAGCGAGGTGAGAGAGCAGGTCGGGGGAGTTAACGTGAGCTTCGGGATGGTGGAAAAGGGGTCGCCAACTTTGGCCAGCTGGCTGGAATGAGATTTTCAATTCAAGACGAGTCTGCACACACTTGCACACATATTTACATGCATGTAACAGCGCTTTTGATGTAGCTAATTTTAGATTTATAATGGAATAATATAGATCTGCATGAGAGTCTGAAAGCGTGACTTTCATGGCAGATGCGTGAGAGATGCTAACCCGGTGGAACTTACTGGCATGTAAACTTGGGCAGTATCACGGTAACACAGTATGTCACGAGATTCGTTTGGGGGGACCCCACCCCGTTCCAAGAATTTTATCGTGGTATACCGTGTCATAATATCTGGACAGCATGACGGTATATAAAATTAGAAACTGCCCAAACCTACAAGCTATAAAGTCACTTTTGTAAGCGAAACGAATTGCATTTTCTCTGATGGTAAAACCGATTTCATTTATATTAAAGAATGTTGACTTTTAACAGACCATCGATACAGTGCGATGTAGTGACATTTCCGTTACCTGCCGCAGAGCTAAATATTCGAAACGCGATATGGCATTTTAACACCGCGAGCTGCTAAACACACCTTGAATAATTATCTGGTGTCTCAATTAAGCGGGAGCGCACTCTAATTAAACGCACGCTGGGTCACAGCACACATCATGATTAAAGTTGGATTCAGACGCGGCGCGGTCAGAATCACAATCACCCCGTACGGTCTGGGTCTGACTCGCACGGAATACATTACGGGGGAGAGACACGGCTGATCGTGGGGACGAGCGGACTGAATCCACTGCGGACTTAAAAGCACGCCAGTGGGATATGTGACACATACAGCCAGCAATATGTAACAGCGACCGAGCTGAACAGATCTAGCAAAGATGCTTTGTTGGGATAGACTCACTGGCTTAACTTCTCTGGAAGCTGTACTCTCTCATCTTTGCCTCCAGTCTTTATTCGGATCTGAGCATCCAGAATTGAAACACAAAAGCCCTGTGATGATGCTGTTGCTTTTTTTTTTGCCATTTTCAGAAGGACATTGAAATGCTTCATTCCACCTACCCCATCTTACTCTCCTTTGAGACATACACAAATATAAACATATTCAGAGTGAGTCTGACGCTTGGGGTCTGAGCACAGGGTCAGCCATTTATCTGGAGCACTTGGGGGGGGGTTAAGGGTCTCGCTCAAGGGTCCAGTGGGGGCCGGATTATTCGGCCGAGGACAGGATTTGAACCGGTGACCTTCTGATCACACTCAGAGAGCCCTAACTAGCTGAGCCACACACCAACCCACATTAACAGGGCCAAAGAAGCTAGGCATGTTTTCAGAGCAGACATTTCTCTTGCAGGAAACACTAATACAAGTGACATAATTATATTAATTAGTTCGAAAACCGGAATAAACTTTTTTTTTTACATTCACGGCTGCTGAGCTACGATGGTGTATATCCCTAAAAGCTGGAGCAGCGTGAGAGCAATTTAGAGCTTTTCTGTGACTTGGTCACTTCAGTGATTCAAATGAGGCTGAGAGTAAGATTCAGGGTCAGCCCTGAGCAACTTCAGATTTCACAAGAGTCCTCAGGGAAAATGGAGGGAGGAGACTGTAATGAACCCACGACATAATGGTGCATTAAGTGTTTACTTCCCAAGTATGTTACATGCAGAACAGCTGCAGTCTAACTGAAAAATATGATTCTGAAAAATGTCATCATGGCTGAGAGGGTCTGGAGGATGGACTCGGTACTCATTACTCTGTACTCAGTACCTGCGACTACTGTGTAATCGGGGAATATGGCTACGCAACCTCAGGGCACCATTCAGGCTGAATAATAGGTCAGTGGGAAAGGGAGGAGAGCCCAATGGGGAGACATCGGGGTGATCCTAGCATTTTTTAAGGTAAAGAAGGAATAAGAGGAACCAAAATTTATACAGAGGGGCCAACCAATGATATGTTTCGAATCAGTGATTGACAGGGGAGAGGTCACTCCGGGGGCCAATCAGCATTCACCTGGAGCCGGTACCCCAGTGGCCCCGCCCCCATAAAACCCTGATAGAGACAGATCTGACCTCAACTTCCAGCACTGGGTACAGTTCGGTGTTTTAACAGAAAGACCGGAATGGTGCACACATGGAGCGTATTAACCCGACAGATGAGGGACTGGAGGGGGAGCCGGCTTGTAATACCTCCACCTGGAAAGCACAAGCTAACTGGTGATTGTCCAAACTGCGCGATTTTGCAGTATAATTACGTGCCTTCAGCCAAGTACATCACTACCACGCAAACACACAGGCCCCCTTTGTTCCGTCATTACATCTGTCCTGATCTGTCCTCTGGGTTGTACTGCTATTCCTTGTTACTTATCTGTTAGCATTGTTGGCAAGACTTTACTTGAGGGGGCACGAGGAACTTAGTGACTCAGTTACTACTCAAGTACAAATCATGAGCAAATATAGTAACTGCATGAAATACATGAATCGTCATGATTGATTAATGATGAACAGTATGTAACTAACACTTAATTAAGGGTTAATTAATACAATAAGTAAGAGTGTACTACTACATTATTTGTGCTCCCTCAAGTAAAGTGTTACCACGTTGTTTAGTGTTTAGCGTCATTGCTGTTGCCTGAGTCCTTAGCATAACACCTATCTCAATCGCAAGGGGAAGATGATGAAATGGCTTACAACATCACCCCCCCCCCCCACAGAAAAAGACAGCTAAGAGTGTTCAATTAGGAACATCTGTAGGGGGAAGAAAGCCAGAAGGCAAGAAAGGAGAGAGAGAAAAAAGACTGTAGGGGGTTCAAGGTCAATTGGCTGCCCTACCTTCTTGGGAATATCAACCGGGAAAAGTAGGAGAGGCCTGTGAGGAAGGGGTGAGGGAGACCACGAGCGATGACGGATATCAGGCGGGATATCAGCACGGTGTCAGTCAGAAGCACAGAAGCACGCCGCCCCGGGGGCTGATTCGGAAGGTTCCGCTCTGTATTCATGCATCGCCTCAGCCCTTCCTAACTTTTGCATTGCGAGGGAAGGGGCTGGTGTTTAGCACCAGAATACCAACCACGCTCACTCGGTCCCTGCAGCCCGCAAAGCCTCCACATCTGTCTCATCCGTTTACAGATCGAGCTCCTAAAAAAAGCCCAGCTGAGCTTTAAAAAAATGTAAGTGGAAAAACTTATAAGGAAACCTGCCAGTTAAATCACTGTTTCTGTTATATACGGTAAAAGTTTTTCTTACAAATTATTGCGAAAAACTACTGCGCATATTTTCTGCACTAATAAATGACTGGTTCAAGTAACGGGCATGGTTAGATGGTGCTAGTGATCTTTCACGGGACAAAATGGAGTTCAGCTATCTTTTAAAAAATCCATCTCACCTAAGCTTATTTTCACACATTCTGTAGGATTTGTTTCGTGCGGGAAAAATGAGTACAATGAGTGGTGGGCACATTCTGCTATTATTTAAAAAGAAAGAATTAATGATTGGGTATATAAGCTGGATCTGGAAAAGGCTGTTTATTATCTATAACGGTAATCTGTAGCGTGTCCTAATTGAGAAACAGAAAAAGCACATGGTGTCTTTCTAAAGCCAGTGGTGGACGTTGAATTCACTGCTGGACGTTTAATTCACGCCAACATCGTATCTTCTCGAAGCCACACCAGTAGTCAGACGGTTCAAATCAAGAAAAATGTAACAAAAAGTTTCACGCGACTGTTTGTATATGCGGGGTAAATAACAAATCAAATACTGGATATTTTATCATATATAGCCAACGATTGGTACTTTTAAGAAGCACTGCTATTTTCAGCAGCCGTGTCCAGGTAGGGATGATCTTGAGCAGCTGTCAAGAAGGAGGGGACGTAAAGTAGGGTACATCCACGGGATGACGCAGGCCCCTTACGGAGTCCTCACTGTCACACGGTCAGATCGGAGCCAACACTTCTAACGTGTCTCCGGATCGTAGGAGGACGCCAGGCCAACCCACGTGAGCTCAGGCAGCACATGCAAATTACCCACACACAGAACCTGATGCATGCAAGAGCAGGCAGAGAGACATTATTACACTTAATGTTACCTAGATATGCGGGAAATCATGGACCGCAGGGTCGGGATTAACATAAACGCTCGTTCACTGACTGGTTTAACCCAATTCTCTGTGGTTCCCATTACCGTAAACCAGGCAGTAACCGACCACAACAGGCACATGTAACTTTAATTGCTCCCAGTTTCTTCGGAATTCCTGCATTATTTTAGTCTTTAGGCTACATGCAAGCTAAGTAACACTATTGTCAATATATCGCCAATATATTATTTCTCTTTACAGATTTATGGGGCTACTGGTCTTAATTTCAGCACTTTTCAATATATATATGCAGTTTACAGCAGCCAAGAAGTCATGGCGATTTGTGTATGGCAGCCATAACTATCAATCACAGAAGCAAAGCTTGTCTGTAAAGCCCCCGGCTTTTATCCAGCGCTACTCAAATGCAGAGGGCACGTGCATGTACATGTAAATCAAGTAAAGAGTAATGCATAACATTATGGTCCTGAATAGTTATTAATCATCTTGTGGGCAGACTTAATGTATCGCTATATCACCTGGCAACAGTCTAAATAAAGCGTCCTTCATAACACCTTTCAGGCATGTTTTGTAATGCACGCGTCATTTATGTTGTACCCACGACGGCACAATGCATAGATTTTTATTCATTAAGCTCGTACGTGCGGAGCTTTCGAGTGCAAAGTAATTAAAAGGCTGTGAAATTTTATGTCACGATGAAAACTTTCGGATGTTGACTTAAATGTCCATAAGTTTTGCTTGCAGATCAAACTGATTTTGGCATGCTGACTGCCAGAAAAACGACGCATAATAGACATTTTTATCATTTACATTTCTAATACTTGCATTCAGGAGAATGTATCGACACCGTATTCGAGCAATATTTTTGTATAGAATTACAGCAATTATATACTCGCCCTTAAATACAGATGCATCATATTGTTTTGTCACTTTAAAGCATATTTTTAAATTTATATTACTAATCGTTATTAAGTTTAATCTCAATTAATAATCACTGGAGCGTCTTGCATGTGAACAATCGTTCGGTTATTACGGAAGGTTCGCATAAACCGATAAACTGTTTAAAAGGCGATGGACAACCAGTAATGCGAGAAATGACCGGAATTCAATATAGCGGCGATTTTGCTGATCATATAAAACCAATGAACGCTAAATGGAGTGTAAAGCCGGACATGGATAATGATTGTGTCTGATATATAAACAGACCAACAGAGGACAAGAATAAATTTAGTACTAAAATTATTGAAAATGAACCACAAGGCCAAATGACTGAAATAGCAAGCGATAGCCTGCTCACCTGTGATGAAGACGTTCAGAAGTATTCCGAGGAAGATCATGCTCGGTCCCCGGCCGTCACTGAGCGCTCAGTCTCTCGCTACTTTCTTTCTGTTCCACCTGGAGCCAGTTCAGGGTATTTCCAGCTGCGAATCTATTTCAAAACCATCCCACAATGTTAACACGTGCGCCTAAACATTTTATTTATCTTGTCAGACCTTGCGTGCCTTTATAATAAAACTGAAAATAGTTGTAAAAATGAAAAATAGCGACGACCGCCCCCAGAGCGCTGCAGACATTTAATGCATCACATTTCTACCAGTGGGAAATACAGAAGGAGATAAACCGGAATTACCCTACAAAACTTTTATTCTCCCCGAGAAGATGCGCTGGCATCACAGAGCCTGTTGGCCGGCGTCTCTCGGCGGAGCTGCGCGGCGATGGGAGTCTGGCCGCTACGGTCCGCTCCGCATTGGCGGCGCCGTGATTGGCTCCGGAACGCACGGCCGCAGCAGAAAGGCGACGCGACGCAGAGATCCAGATGTCAGGTGAGATCGATGATGAAAACAAATCAGCTAGCCTGTGGGGTAATGGATCTCTAGGAAGCACACTGTAAAAAAAAAAAAGAGTTCTTAATTACGTTTCGCCCCCTCGTTCCCGCCCGTTTCAACTTCATTGGGGGGGGGGATGGAATGAGACTGTCGTCAATGCAAAAGTTACGGCGATCAAAACATGAACTTCATTAGAGATGGACGTAAGATAAGCAGGGCATCTTCACAAGTAAATTCTAGTGTGAAAATAAATAAAGCCATTTAAATTGGGAGCCGTGGGCTTGCACGAATTACAGTAAATTGGGAGTCCATATAAAATAATTTAAAAGAGAGAAAAGAACCGTGAGTTGGGGGATTACCCTATTCATTTGCGCCAGAATGGGAAATTAGAGAGCAGAGGTTTACAATTACCTCAGACTGTAAGTCCCCACGCAGCTGGTGTGAACCCCAGGCTCCAGCACCGCTAATTCTTTAACGTAAGACCATAGCTGCCATCGCTGAAATCCAGCGGGTGCTTCCTAAGCACTGTTAAGCCCTCGGTCCTTTTGCGTTTCGTCAGGTAGGCTAAAATTATCAGAAAAAAACAAGCATCCCAACTGTATTTCTGTATAGGGCAGCTTCCTGGGATATACAGGAAAATATACGATTTAGCCTATCTGAGACCCTGGTACACAGCACGTACTCCCAAAACAGAGATCACGTTGAGTAAAGCAGGATGTGTCTCTCAGCACAGCCCTCGTTAGGTCCGCTATCTCCCCAAGTATTTCAGCCCCGATACCAATCTTCCTTGGAAAAAAAAGTCAAGCCCCAGGTAAACATGACTTAGCTGCTGATCTTTTCAGTAGCTCGAAACTCCCCTGTATCTCAACATTGCCTTATAGAGTGTGGCTGTATCGAAACCCTTGGAAAATGTTATAAATATTATTTTGGTGTATAATTCATAACCTGTTCCAAAACAGAACAATCTACAAAGAGATTTCACTTTGGGCGTATGTAGAATGACGGCAGGTATTGCAGTGTCTTTCAACATTGTTGCCGGTTCTTTGAAGAGTTATAGTTGTTAAATGGTCGCTCATGACAGCTCGCGAAGATCTTAGTGAAGAGCGGTCAGATTTACGACTGTCACATTTTCTTGTCTGAGAAGACTGACTTTATGAAGTCACGCACCTCGCCTCCCGTGCGCGACGCGCTGCTTCATAAATCAACGCTCCACTTGATGCGCCATTAATCTCGGCGAACAGCGCGCAGATCCAGCGAGATATGTGGTAGAAATACATCCCCAAATGACAGGAACCTCTTGGGGAGGGTAATTTCAGGTCGTCGAAAGGAATTTGTTCCACGTGTGACAAACAGATGAGGTGAAGGTAAAGCACGACAACACAAGATCCAAAATCATCTCAGTCTTGGACCTGGTTGCGTTAACCAGATCCATATTATTCAATTATTAACTTATCTAGCACCAAGCCTTATCTAATCAAACTCTGGGGAGTGCTTAACATTTACGCGCGACCTGCCAGCCGTCGGTAAAAGCAGTGAAAACTCATCAGAATGAGTGACATTGTTTGCTGCCAGTAACTGACCGGTTGACCCCAACCCTGGGCCGCATTAATATGTGCATGTTTCCACATGCGACTCCATCAGGCTCGGAAGAATAGGTCGGGAACCATGGCGTTCTGCCCCCAACTTCATCTCCCGGCACTCATCCCCTCTTCCCATCACCCTTGTAGTATATCAACAAGTTTTCATCCTAATAATTGCTCCCCCCCGTTCAACTCGAAGCCGCCCGCGACCCTGAACATCACTTGAAAGGTCCTGACTTGAGGTCTCGTGCAACCACTTCGCATCCCTTAAATCCCGCGGGAGACGAGCGCGAGAGAAAAGCAATTACTGATGGGCACGATAGCGCGCGCCTGAGCACTCCTCTGGCCCCACTTCAATAAATGAGTCCTCCGGCACGCATGTGCATAGAACAGTTTTTATCGGTGTCTTGAGTGCGACTTCCGGTGCCCTTAGAAAGAGAGGCACGATTATGGAGATACACATAACCGAGGGCGGTTTAAAAAAAATCAGGGGCTAAGTCAAGTTTATCTGGGGGCTTGACCTGTTTTTTTAAGGAAGACTGGCATCGGGGGTAAAATACTAGGGGCTAGGTTTAAAATACTCAGGGCTATAACCCCCCCGTGATCGAACCTAACGACGCCCATGTCACATAAATGAAAGTTTCAGCCACGGCTGAATTTCTGTGCTGTATGCCTGCAGGGGTTACCGAACATTTAATAAGTAATACAATATATAGACATTTTTCTATCCGTGAGAAATTATTTAGCGTACCAGGCTACACCGCAGTCTGTGCTGATAACTGCGGATCATTTTCTTACCTCCTGCTCATCGTCAGAAGATTTTAAAATAAATGAGCACCGTGTAAAAATGACGGGCGCATCTAAATTAACAACATAATACGCAACTAAAATTAATACAACAAAAAAAAAAAAACGTAGAATAAACCACGAGAACATAAACAAAACTACTCCCTAGCGACCGGAAATAACCATAGCTGTAACTAATATACTATACATGACGTAACCCGCAGTGACCCCATACCACAGCGTTAGTCTAGAGACTCCCAAATGTAAATAATCCAGAGCCTGGGAGTCATTACCACTAATGCGTGACCACGCAAGTAAACAAGGGGTTTCCCCTTTAATATTTTAAAACTGCTCCATCTATATTAATACCTGTGAAACTAAGCTGACCTACTGATTAGGCATTTATACATAATCAGTATTGTAATGGCTGAAAAAAAAAGATTAATAAACGACTTGTGATTCATTAAACAAACCTATTTCTGCTTAGCTGAGAATTATTTCTAAAATTAAACTTGAAAGCCCCCCCCCATGACACTTCTACGGGTCATCTTCATTCTGGTTATTTAGATATTCTGTTTAAAAATCTGTATGATTAAAGACAGTGTTTGACTGTGTATTTGCATTTATTTATGTGACATACTTTTGTCCAGAGCAATGTCAGCCTACAATGGGGAGCAGGACTGAGGTAGGCGAAGAGAATTTCCCCATGTGGATCGATAAAGGATCCTTCCTTTACAAGTGAGGCATCAAGGAAAACACGATGTACAGCTGCACACAGGCTGAACGTCCAGTGAATGAACAGTTACAGTGCAAGACGACTGGAAAAACAGCACGCGATACAATAAAATGTAACATCAAGAAAAGCTACACAAATAAACATCACCCAGCTGGAACTAGTCAAAAGTCAAGGTCTCTTTTATTTCCCGCTTGAGATATATGATGTACGGGTCATACACGGAGGTGAGAGAGCATTAGCGTTGGTCAGAGTGCAAATGAGCAAGAAAACATAGAATATAAATACAGACACACAAAAACATGACATTTCAAGGGTGAGGCTCTCGGCCCTGCAGGCCGGGTGAGGCTGCTTTTCAGCAGTCAGAAGTTTTTACACATCACAGGTTTTTTTTATACCACTTTTCCACTTATTTCATAAACTGCAGATTTTTTTATTCTTGTTGAGCTTTGTAAAGTGGACTGCACAACTATAAATGAAAATATGTTTCCTTTATAACATGGAACGAGTATGTAACAGTGCAGGTCTGACGTCCTGTTAACTGGTTGTGTGGTGATGGTCAGATTCTAGGCCGTCCTTTAACTTTAAACGCACTAGTTACCTGTTTCGTCCCGTGAAGCAGCAGTATTTAATGTCCCTTGCAGAAAGAATGTCTCACATTTTTTCTGCTGTTATAACTGCTAGAGGTTGTTACTTTGCTGAATCAAAGATATGACATTTCCTTGCTAATAAAGGTACTCAGATGGTGAACATGCTGTAAGTTAATTCGTTAGCAAAGAATACCGAGTGTATTTTTAGTAAATCTTAAGTGAGTGACATACAACTGTAGAAAATCTCAGTGCGTGGAAAAACTTTGGGCCGGTAGCGTATTTCAGCTCTGCATTCGGCACAGTGACGCCGCAGTAACTTACGCCAAAGCTCACTCAGCCTGGCCTGAAAGCACTATTATGCAGTGGGATCCTGGGCTTTGACAGAGAGACTAGATAACGCTACTAAGCGCTGCAGTGTAGAGGCATAAGAGCAGTCTGCTAATTTAATAAAAAAAAGCCCCTTTCTCGTGGTCCCAGGAAACACGGAGAGAGCATTCAGTAGCGGCAAGTAAAAGCTTCACAGCAGAGCGGAGCAGCGTCGCCGAGGCGAGGCGAGGCGGCAGGGTGTGGTTAGTGGAGGTGTGTTCCTGGTAGAGGGAGGGGCTAAACGTCACAGGGGCAAGCTGTCCCACAGTCAGAGGCTACTGGTAAGAAATGCTGTTACAATAAATAGCAGCCACTGTTTTTGACATATTCACGCGGTTAGGTTTCACAAGACATTACTCTGAGGCAGGGACGTTGCTAAAGATTTTGGGCCCCATGAAAGCATATCATACTGAGCCTTCCAGTCCAGACCAATCCAGTTATGTTACAAATTCTTTAGGGCCCCTGTCACTCAG